TGGCTGACACCCGCCGCAGGGCAGATCAGTAAACTGCAGGAGCAGGTGGGTGGGTGGGGGCTGCAAGTGCCTTCTACCTGAGACAGAGCTGATCAGCAGCCAACCCCAGGGGAAGCCCCTTTCCTGAGGCTACGCGCAAACTGAAGCTAAGATGCCTGGGCCACTTTCTCGGAGGGTCTATATTTCCTGCTTGTTGGGGTCTGTGAGCTCTATCAAGGGAAGAGCGACCTTCACCAGGTCCCTGGCTTCATAAATGACATCCCAGGCCAACCAGCACTCCCACACCTGCCCTGTGGTCCTGGCAGGCGCAGGAAGGTGGGGCACTGAAAGCCAGGCGCTGGAGCCTTACCAGAGCCAATTTAATTCTATGGTAATAAATGTAACGCATTGCCTTTTTAACATTCAAACATAGCTAAGCTAGAGAAGATAAAACATTCACATGCATTTTTCAGTAGAATAAAGTCATTTCAAAGGCATCTATCTCACTCGTCTGAGGCCGCCTTGGGTGCCGCACAGAATTCTCTCCGCTCCCTGCCCTGTGGATTGGGTGAAGTTTGTGCAGCGCTGCGAGCAGGTTACGGTCCAGCCAGGGCGTGCGGGTCCGTAATGAAAGCCCCTCAATGGCGACGGTCATCCCCGCCACGGGAAGCAGGAGAGCTGACTGCCCTGCCCCCCATCCCTGTCCTAGGTGTAGACATGAAAGCCGCCCCCGCCCCCATGCAACCTTCGGGGAACAATTCTGGCCCCCGGAAGCCACGCAAGCTCTGCGCGCTCACGGTGAGCTGGTGAGCGCTGCCTGCGGCCACCTGTCGGGGTGTCCACCCCAACCTTCCGCCCGCGCGTCCCCTCCCGGGACTCCTACCATGTCCCCCGTGGTGGCTGGACCCGCTCCTCGGCGCGCTCAGCCGGCTCACCAGCTCATCCCGCGGCGCCCGGGACGCCTCTGGAGCCGTGGCTCGCCTGGCTTCCCTGGACGCGGGTTTCCCGGACCGAAAGCCTACAGATTCCCAGCGGCCAAGCGGCCCCGCGACACCTCCCGGGCGTGCGACGCGCGCGGGGATGCTCTGCGGGTGGAGTTTTTAGAGGAGGTCTGGGAGAATGCACACGGGATCTGTGGGTCTGCGGGAGCCCTCCCGCAGCCGCGAGCCTCCGAGATCTGCGAGGGACGTTTGCAGAGTTTGCAAAGTCCCTGCCGGCTGCTCCCGGCCCGGCCTCCCCACTTCCCCGAAAGCGCGGGAGGGGAGAGCTCCTTTCACAATAAAAGCCCTGCCCCGGGCTCAGGCAGCAGCAGCAGCCTGAAGCGGAGGCCCAGGTGCTAGGATGGAACCGTCCCACCCGCCGCGGAGGCAGGAGGCAAGGGGCGCCTGGGAGGGCCTGTGCGCATTGCCCAGGTCCCACCTCCAAGGTGTGTGGGGGCCCTGTGAGCAAGAGGCAAACTCTCGGGAAGACAAGTCTTTTTTTACTGGCATCTCATAGCCTCCTTAGGGCTCAATACCCAAGAGCAGTTTGGAAGGAAAATCTGTTGAACACAGAGTAAGTGACTGTTACAGACCCCTCCACTATGGATTCATAGACAGTGCCTTGTG